TCATTAGGCCCAATACAAAACAACACTGGAGAACACCAATATCGCGCGACATCAGCCGCAAGTCAACGCCCATATCGAAATACGCGATCACCTCGAACACTATCACAACAAATGCGAGGAAAATCGAATATATTCTGGGTTAATCCTTCGATTAACTACGGTCAGATATGGAAGTGGGCATGTAGAATAGAAATGGAAGGACCCATTAGATAATGGGGGGTCTTTCACAGGCAAACATCAAATTACTTTGTCCTGTATTATATAAACAGCTGAGTGCCCAGGGGCCAAGTGTATTTTTGTATTTGTATCTCTTTGGTACAATAAAGTAAGTGTGAATTGCTACTACCATTACCGTTGTAGTTATTTCACAATCTTCATACCAAATGAAAATTTACCCCCTATAATTTCACTATAAATCATTCCACTCCCTCTCCATTCTGTGGAGGTGATTTCCAGCAGTAGCCGCCTATCTATATGTATAGCCTAGTAAGTGTATGAGAGTATTCGTAAGGAACGACTTTTTTAAACGGTCTTCATATATTCTGTTGCGATTCCATTTTATTTTCCTTATGTATATCTTTAAAGGAAAACTGGTGATCAGTTATACCTGTTTTTCCTTTCGATTTCTTACAAATGGCTACCTGATGCAACGCCTGAATATTTCATAAGTTGTAGATTCTTATAACTTCTCTTTTGACACTGGAAACACATCGGTGAGATAAAGTCCTAAGTTTGATCTTATCAGACCGCTATGAAAGTTGTTCATAATTCCCAAAGAACTTCATCACAATTCATTGGTATCTGCCGATCATTTTTGTAATTTCCAGTCGTATTTTTATGTTTTACAAGTTCTGTAGTTATCAAAAAGTTCTTTTTATCCGTTTAATCAACATTAAATCTTCACTATAGAAATGTGGTTATTAATTTGAGACTTTGAAATTCAGGACACTACAAACGAATGGCTGCCGTTTGTTTACGCCTGCGCAGAACGAACCCTGTTTCTTCATAACTGTTCACGTTGGCGTTGTCACAATTCAGCAAATAAAGCTTCAAATTCAATACATTAAAAATTATGCGTCCAATAAAGTGAGACACAAGGAATGATTCGATTAGTTTGGTCATCGTTTTACACGTATCATTATCTTTCAAATAAATTCGAAAAACCAATGCTTCTTAATCTTTATCATGGTTTGCATAATTTGTCAGAATCTTTATGGCCCATCTTCACCTTAAGGTTAAAAGATTAAATTTAAATTAAGTCAAATTAATATAAATTTAATTTAAATTAAACGTTAAAATTCAAAATTGCCGAATTTAATATTAAAACTTTTTCAATATTAATTTCGACAATTTTACAATTTTGAAGTAAATAAATACTCAAGTTAATCAGATGTCAAAATTAAAAAACCTGTATGAAGTTCTAAATAATAAAACCATTTAATATCACTGAATAATTTATAACTCAAATTTAAAATGTGTTTCATGTTACTATTTTTCTTTTCAATGGAATGAGTGGAATGCTCATTAGAAGAAAAATATTCTTCTTCGAAACAGTAAAGGAAACAGTTCTATGAATCAGTACTACACCCAAAAAATTTGTTTGCTTGGCATCCGTGTCCTTCACCTCAAAATAATTCCTTAAGCATCACATGGACGTGCGTGTACCTCAGTTTAAGAGCCACAATTTTACAATACAACACAGAGAGAACAATCAAAGCTCATCACCCAGACATCGTGATCAAAGACACACACAAAAAAAGAATGAGCTTTCTTATTGACATGACAGTTCCTGCCGATTGTAATGTATATTTGAAGATCTTCAAAACAGAACCATAAAATTGCATGGATCCTGAAGAGAAAATCTCAAAAATGTGGTACATGAGGGCGCCAATAATTCCAATTATATTTGGAGCCCTCGGATTGATTGGAAAAGATTACGATAGACTCATTGAAGGAATTCCCGACAGCCCATGCCTTAAAGAAGTACACAATTGTACAGCTAAGAGATTTCGAAGAGCTTTATCTATTTAAAATGTGTGCGAATTTATTATTAAAAAAGAGTAAATCCACTATTCAACTTCATCAAATACTAAATATAATGTATGTATACATATGCATATATAACGTATCTAAAATATGTTTATATATTTATGTATATGTATGTATATTTAATGCATATATATACACACACACACACACACACATATATATATATATATATATATATATATATATATATATATATATATATATATATAGTATACTAGCAGCATGGCCCGGCGTTGCCCGTGCTTGATTCAAAAATCGTACGACTCATACAGCAATCGCTATCACTTGACTTAAAATATTTTTACCCTCCCTTGCCTTTAAAGGAGTGCCCTTTGCCGTACTGATGTTACTACATGCCTTACTTCTTGCCTATCTCACACTGCGAATTTTTTCTAAGCTTTATACTAAACATTAAATCTGTTACGAAAAAAAAAATAAACAAAATGAACACAAAACGATCAGCTTTAAAAAAGGACTCGTAACTGGAAAAACCGAATGAAAAAAGAATGTTAACAACAAATACACAGTTCTGCGGAATCAGAATTGAGTTTAAGCAAGCGAATGAGCTAGTTGGAGTAAAGTGCCATGCAGATTTAAATTTTTCCCACTTGTGACGAATGCAGCTATCGATTTCTTTTTTGCATGCTAGCATGCTAGTTAACATTCGTGTCAGTCAGCTGTTGGCTCTCACGCTGGCCAATAGAATCTTCCTGCCTATTTGTGGCAGCCATCTATTGGCTCTCAATCTGGCCAGTACAAAATGGCCGCAAACTACATGAAATTGCCGTAGAAGCATGAAAAAATCGATTATTTCCACTATCGATGGGAGTTGGGAAATGCAAAGTCGGTCTTGGCCTTTCCACTAACTTGGAGCATGTAAATTTTGGTGCAAATCCGTCGAAAATTGCGGCCGTGCATTCGTTACACACACACACACACACACACATCCTGCCTTTTATAGATAGCGATAAAAATTAAAAATTCTATAGCGAGTTATTTTTAATAAAACTATTTTATTTGTCGGTCGCCATTGTTCATTTTCAACTTTAAAATGCGTTCATGTTCTTTGTTTTTAAATGGTGACTGAATGCACAACGAAAGAAGCATTTTTTTTTTTGCTAGACAATAAATAAAACTGCTATATACATCAGCTAAAATTGTTAACTTGGGACCCTCGTCTTGCACCTCAGAAAATTCTATTACACAAAATTTGGATGAGAAGAACCAAGAAAAAAAAGTGGTTATCGATAATTGCTCGCTGCAGTAGTAATGGCATTCGTGGAAATAAATGACAGTAGAAACTACAATGTCGTCTGCTTCTACAGAATTATTAATGCTCATCAGAGGATTTCTAAGAAGCCAGTTAGGACTTGTTCCCTCCCTAAACCAAATTCCTATGAGAATCGCCCAACAAAATTTATTCCGTAAAATATCAAACAATAAATATGATCCCCTAAAAGATGGCGTTATAGAATGCTTCCGTACAAAATTACACCTTAAGAATTATTCCGTACAAAAGTAACTCATGAAATTATCCCATACAAAAATGCCCATGAAAATCATTTCGTACAATAATTCCCTATAATATTTTTCAGTGCTTTTAAAAATTATTCCGCACCAAATTTCCCTAAAAACATTACACAGTGTAAAATATTAAAAAAGAATATTTACTAAGTTTAACGCATTATTTATTTTAATTATAAAATACAACGTTTTAAGATGACCCGATGAACTTATATGTATTGTAATGAGTGCTAGAATCTTGGAAGCAGTCATTCGTCTTTGAAATTCGGTTCCTACGATAGGCATAATTCAATTTCACAAAATAATGACACTTCCAGACGAAATACAGTACATTTGGGGAAAGACTAAAGTCAAGCAGTTCAAATGGTGTCCAGCAGTCATTAACAGCTGCTTCTGATTCGCTGAAAAAGGAAATGAATAAAAAAAAGTTACTAATTTTTATTTTAGTTCCTAATAGTGTGTTAAACATATGTTTTAGAACGCATCACAGCTGCACCGCCTATGAAAAGGATAATCATTTTGTATTCGATTCAGGAAAGCATATTGTATAAGATAAAACATTTAAACGCAAAGTCGCGGCTTCGGTCTGGCCTTTTCATTTGCTTTTATCCAGTAACTTTATCGGAAACCCAACGCAGAATCATTCAAGAACGGCGTGATTTTGTCGGACAGTCCGTAGCGTTAAAACCTTCTTCGTGAATATTAGAAAGGCCAAAAGCATTTACCACTGTCACATATCCTCGGAATCCATTCCATTACCTCTCAACGTCCGGACATTTCAGAGAAATTTTCTATCATCTCCATTGAAGCCAATCGTGATAGCCAATCAACTATGACTGAGCGATTCGTATCAATAGTAAAGCGTAGAAAACCGCCGCCTGTTTGTAGACTTCAATTTAAGAAGCCGCTTTTATGGTCTGTTCGGCAATATGACACAGCTGAAATGCTAGCTGCGTCCGATAGAAAAACAGGTAGCCATATTATATTTCATCTGCGCTTCCGAAAGCAAGAGGATATCTGCGTTTGTTTTGAATGGTCTTTCCACCGAAAAGACAGTAAATTTTCTCTCTCTTACCGTAAATGGCGATATGAGGTTATCTTTTGCCTGACAGCGCATTTCTCAAACTCTGCAAAAAGATCTACATCCAGGACCCATCTGCGTACGCTAACGTTTAGTGCGCTAAACTGGTTAACCATTATTAATGAGTAGTGATATCAATTCTCACTGGAAGACCCATACATATATCCTTATGCCAAAACGAAACATTTTTTAACAAATATTAAGACAGTTATTATACAACTTGTATCGGCATGGAGTAATGTTTAGGGAGATAGTATAGTTGACTATTTCTACTGAATAGTGAATTTTAACCTCATTGCGTTCCTCATACATAAGCGTTAAGCCTAAACTACGCAAGGGTTACTACAATATCAACGACGAAAGAAAGCAAGAAAGCAAGAAAGAAAGAAAGAAAGAAAGAAAGAAAGAAAGAAAGAAAATCTGTAGAATACCTTCTGAGTTCAAATGACCGTTGACGCTAAAATACAATTGTAATTAACGTTTCCCTCCACCCCAGAATTCATCGTCTCGTTATAAATGTGCTCGTTATTGAGAATAAAGGTTTGTTGAATTTGGCAAGAAATGGCTGGTTAACTTTAATGTCTCAAAAACAAAACTGCCCTCTTTTACCCACCACAGAGAACTCTCCCTGCCTCCCATTAGAACTCCACGAGAGCACCTCTCTGCGATTGCTTGGTCTCATACTGTCCGTAGCTGAGATGGAACAAATACATTGAATCAATAGTTTTATCCACCGCAAGGTAAGTTGGTTCTCTGTGTCGCGCCAAAAATATTTCTCGCCGTGTCCATTCTTCAAATCTATAAATCAACCATTCGCCCTTGCATGGAATACAGCTGCCATATATGGTCTGGAGCCCTCAGTCTTAAGGTCTTCGACAAAATCTAGAGACAGATATGCAATGTGATTGGCACTGATCTGGCATCTCGTTTACAGTGGCTTTCTCACAGACGTCCCGTCGCTTCCCTCTGTCTTTTCTAGAAATACTTTCACGGTAATTGTTCCGACGAACTACTTTCGCTAGTCGCCAAACTGCATGAATTTAAACGTGCCACTAGGTTGGCATCTCAGTCCAACGCTTTCACTGTCGAAACGGTTAGATGTAGACGTCTATTCTACTCCAATAGCTTCATGTATCGCACTTCCCGTTTGTGGAACTCCCTTCCTCTTACTTGCTTCCCTGATAGCTATAATCTCCAACTATTCAAATGCAATGTCAATCGACATCTCCAGATGCCTTGATCTATTCCCCGTCCTTCACTTTACCCTTTCCTCTATGACGCCTCTTTACTCTTGCTCCCACTCTCTGTAACCAATTACGTGCTAGTGGCTTGGGGTGAAACGCTTAAAAAAATTATTTGTTTCATAAATCAAACCCTACTTGTTATATTAGGAGACACATTATTAACGAATTATATCATCTTCTTTGAAATTGTGCTTTTATTTTGTTTGTTTGTTTTTTTGTTTTGTTTTGTTTTGGTTTGTTTTTGTCTTTTGGTGATGCGGATATTTTAGACAAGCATCTTTGTTTATCGTGTTTTGATCGTTACCTTTTTAGCCGAGAGATTTTCAGGGTTTTCTAGAATTGTCAAATGTTGAATTCGAGTCGATATTTACTAAGTTTTACTGATCACTTCAAAGAGTTATTTACTGATACAAGTCTTACTAATTGACCCATAGCCTGGGTGGATAAGAAGTGGATTCATACCTTTACCAAGCGTATTTGTGGATAAGTGAATATAACAAACTCGACTGGAATGGGAACTCCGCCCTCCGACTTTCAAATCCGATCCATTATCTATTACACTATCTGCCCATCTGAGCTTACAGCAACTGTCATTCCTAAGCGATTGCTCAGCTCGGTATTCGCTAGGCCCGACGTTGATTAACTTCGCTGATCGGATCAGAACCGGTGTTTTAACGCGATATGGCCGGAAGCAAAACTAAGAAAAGAAAGAAAGAAAGAAAGAAAGAAAGAAAGAAAGAAAGAAAGAAACTGAAGTGGAGTAAGAGAAAAACAGAAAGACATAGGGAATAATTAAAAGAAAAAAGTGTAAAAAATAAAGAAAGAAATCAGAAAATAGTGCTAGAAAGAAAGAATGAAGACGAAAGAATAAAGAAAAGTGTACAAGAAAGACAGAAAAAAAGAAAGAAAGAAAGAAAGAAAGAAAAAGAAAGCGAAGTGAAGTAAAAGAAAAACAGAAAGACATAGGAAATAATTAAAAGAAAAAATGTAAAAAAAAGAAAGAAATCAGAAAACAGTGCTAGAAAGAAAGAATGAAGACGAAAGAAAAAAGAAAAGTGTAAAAGAAAGAAAGAAAGAAAGAAAGAAAGAAAGAAAGAACGAACGAAAATACGCGAGCTCGAAACATCTAACAAATACATTCCAATACAGCTTCGCTTTCCAATCAAAACAAGTCGAGTCATTATCATCTAGTCTATATGTATTCTACTAACTCTGTTAGAACGTGAAATCAAACATGTTGTAGCGCCGATGTTTCAAATGGGCGATGTTTTTCATCTTGAAAATCATTTAACGAACCCTGAAACTCTAACACTAACTCTAGTTGCAAGTAGAAAAGACGCTGCTACTATTTCAGCCACTAATTAGAAGATACGATCGTATATTTGAGTCAGTCTAAGCTGAGTTTAGTAAATTACTTGTTACTAATCTATACCCCTGCAAGGCGAAACCACGAAAGTCCTAATCCCGTCTATTCAAAAGGATGCGTATATGTTGTGCAGAATATGTAATCTATTTTGATGATTTATTTATACGTCCGGATAATGTGTCTTTAACTATAACAACTTCAACAAAGTGAATTGGGGGTCAGAATGGGAAGGAGATTTTGCTCGTTCTCGCCCGCTGTAACGTTCTATTTGGTATGGAGTGATCAGATGACTTAAAATAACGAAGTCTAGTTCCTAGTTCGATCTCTCATTCTCTTTTGATTTTACGTTGGAACAAAGGGAGAACAGAAAGCTACGACGATAGAATTCCAAGTTTTAATTTGGACATCCCTTTGGCCATCCCTTTTGGCCATCCCTATTTTGGACATTCCTATTTTGGCCATCCCTATTTTGGACATTCCTATTTTCGGAATTCCTATTTTGGCCATCCCTATTTTGGACATTCCTATTTTGGCCATCCCTATTTTGGACATTCCTATTTTGGATATTCCTATTTTGGACATTCCTATTTTGGACATTCCTATTTTGGCCATCCCTATTTTGGACATTCCTATTTTCGGAATTCCTATTTTGGCCATCCCTATTTTGGACATTCCTATTTTCGGAATTCCTATTTTGGCCATTCCTATTTTGGACATTCCTATTTTGGACATTCCTATTTTGGACATTCCTATTTTGGATATTCCTATTTTCGGAATTCCTATTTTGGCCATCCCTATTTTGGACATTCCTATTTTGGACATTCCTATTTTGGACATTCCTATTTTCGGAATTCCTATTTTGGCCTATTTTGGACATTCCTATTTTGGACATTCCTATTCCTTTTTGGAATTCTATTTTGGCCTCCCTATTTGACATTCCTTTTTCCTATTCCTTTTTGGACATTCCTATTTTGGACATTCCTATTTTCGGAATTCCTATTTTGGCCATTCCTATTTTGGACATTCCTATTTTGGACATTCCTATTTTGGATATTCCTATTTTCGGAATTCCTATTTTGGCCATCCCTATTTTGGACATTCCTATTTTTCCCTTTTTGGACATTCCTATTTTGGCCATTCCTATTTTGGACATTCCCTGTTTGAATTCCTATTTTGGACATCCCTTTTTGGACATTCCTATTTTCGAATTCCTATTTTGGATTCCTATTTTGAACATTCCTTTTTGGACATTCCTATTTTGGACATTCCTTTTGGCCATTTTGGACATTCTATTTTTGGAATTCCTATTTTGGCCATCCCTATTTTGGACATTCCTATTTTTGGAATTTGGACATTCCTATTTTGGACATTCCTATTTTGGACATTCCTATTTTGGATTTTGGACATTCCTATTTTTTTCCTATTTTGGCCATCCTATTTTGGACATTCCTATTTTCTTCCTATTTTGGATATTCATTCTATTTTCCACATTCCTATTTTGGCCATTCCTATTTTGGACATTCCTATTTTTGGACATTCCTATTTTGGACATTCCTATTTTGGACATTCCTATTTTCGGAATTCTATTTTGGCCATCCCTATTTTGGACATTCCTATTTTCCCTATTTTTGGACATTCTATTTTCGGAATTCCTATTTTGGCCATTCCTATTTTGGACATTCCTATTTTGGACATTCCTATTTTGGACATCCCTATTTTGGACATTCCTATTTTCGGAATTCTATTTTCCTTATTTGGACATTCCTATTTTGGAATTCCTATTTTGGCCATTCATTTTTGGCCATTCCTATTTTGGACATTCTATTTTGGACATTCTATTTTGGATATTCCTATTTTCGAATTCCTATTTTGGCCATCCCTATTTTGGACATTCCTATTTTGGAATTCTATTTTGGCCATCCTATTTTGGACATTCCTATTTTCGGAATTCCTATTTTGGACATTCCTATTTTGGACATTCCTATTTTGGACATTCCTATTTTGGCCATTCCTTTTGGATTTTTTGGACATTTTTTTGGATATTCCTATTTTGGATTTTATTTTGGAATTCTATTTTGGACATCCCTATTTTTCCTATTTTCATTCTATTTTGGCCATCCTATTTTGGACATTCCTATTTTTTGGACCATTCTATTTTGGCCATTTTTTTGGACATTCCTATTTTGGACATTCCTATTTTGGACATTCCTTGGCCATTTTTTGGACATTCCTATTTTGGACCTATTTTGGCCATCCTATTTTGGACATTCCTATTTTCGGAATTCCTATTTTGGCCATCCCTATTTTGGACATTCCTATTTTCGGAATTCCTATTTTGGCCATTCCTATTTTGGACATTCCTATTTTGGACATTCCTATTTTGGACATTCCTATTTTGGACATTCCTATTTTGGATTCCTATTTTGGATATTCTATTTTTGGACATTCCTATTTTGGACATTCCTATTTTGGATTCCTATTTTGGACATTCCTTTTTGGACATTCCTTTTTTCAAATTCCTATTTTGGCCATCCTATTTTGGACATTCCTATTTTGGAATTCCTATTTTGGCCATTCCTATTTTGGACATTCCTATTTTGGACATTCCTATTTTGGATATTCTATTTTGACCATTCCTATTTTGGATTCATTCCTATTTTTTTGGACATTCCTATTTTGGACATTCCTATTTTGGACATTTTGGACATTATTTTGGACATTCCTATTTTGGAATTCCTATTTTGGCCATATTTTTGGACATTCCTATTTTCGGATTCCTATTTTGGCCATTCTATTTTGGACATTCCTATTTTGGACATTTTGGCCATTCCTTTTTGGATTTCTATTTTGGACATTCCTATTTTGGACATTCCTATTTTGGACATTCCTATTTTGGACATTCCTATTTTGGGAATTCCTATTTTGGACATTCCTATTTTGGACATTCCTATTTTTGGAACATTCCTATTTTGGACATTCCTATTTTCGGAATTCATTTTGGCCTCCCTATTTTGGACATTCCTATTTTGGAATTCTATTTTGGCCATTCCTATTTTGACATTCCTATTTTGGACATTCCTATTTTGGACATTCCTATTTTTCGAATTCCTATTTTGGAAATTCCTATTTTGGACATTCCTATTTTTGAATTCCTATTTTGGCCATTTTCGAATTCCTATTTTGGACATTCCTATTTTTTCGGACATTCCTATTTTGGATATTCCTATTTTGGACATTCCTATTTTCGGCATTCCTATTTTGGCCATTCCTATTTTGGACATTCCTATTTTCGGAATTCCTATTTTGGACATTCCTATTTTGGACATTCCTATTTTTGGAATTCCTATTTTGGCCATTCCTATTTTGGACATTCCTATTTTGGACATTCCTATTTTGGCCATTTTCCGGAATTCCTATTTTGGACATTCCTATTTTGGATATTCCTATTTTCGGCCATTCCTATTTTGGACATTCCCTATTTTGGACATTCCTTTTGGACTATTTTGGACATTCCTATTTTGAATCCCTATTTTGGACATTCTATTTTGGAATTCCTTTTTGGCCATCCCTATTTTGGATATTCTATTTTTCAGGAATTTCCTATTTTGGCCATTTTGGACATTCCTTTTTGACATTCCTATTTTGGAATTCCTATTTTGGATATTCCTATTTTGGACATTCTATTTTGGCCATTCTATTTTGGACATTCCTATTTTCGGAATTCCTATTTTGGCCATCCTATTTTGGACATTCTATTTTTTCTATTTTGGCCATTCCTATTTTGGACATTCCTATTTTGGACATTCCTATTTTGGCTATTCCTATTTTGGACATTCCTATTTTGGACATTCTATTTTGGATTTCTATTTTGGATATTCCTATTTTGGACATTCCTATTTTGGATATTCCTATTTTGGACATTCCTATTTTCGAATTCCTATTTTGGCCATCCTATTTTGGACATTCCTATTTTATTTTTTTGGAATTCCTATTTTGGCCATTCCTATTTTGGACATTCCTATTTTGGAATTCCTTTTTTGACATTCCCTATTTTGGACATTCCTATTTTGGACATTCCTATTTTGGACATTCCTATTTTGGACATTCATTCTATTTTTTGATATTCCTTTTTGGAATTCCTATTTTGGCCATCCCTATTTTGGACATTCCTATTTTCGGAATTCCTATTTTGGCCATTCTATTTTGGACATTCTATTTTGGACATTCCTATTTTTTCCTATTTTCCTATTTTGGACATTCCTATTTTCGGAATTCCTATTTTGGCCATCCCTATTTTTGGACATTCCTATTTTCGGAATCCTATTTTGGCCATTCCTATTTTGGACATTCCTTTTGGACATTTTATTTTGGACATTCCTATTTTGGAATTCCTATTTTGGCCATCCCTTTTTGACATTCCTATTTTCGGAATTCTATTTTGGCCATCCTTTTTGGACATTCCTATTTTCGGAATTCCTATTTTGGCATCCTATTTTGGACATTCCTATTTTGGAATTCCTATTTTGGACATTCCTATTTTGGACATTTGGACATTCTATTTTGGACATTCCTATTTTGGAATTCTATTTTGGACATTCCTTTGGATTTTTTTTGAATTCCTATTTTGGCCATTCTATTTTGGACATTCCTATTTTGGACATTCCTATTTTGGACATTCCTATTTTTGGATATTCCTATTTTGGCCATTTTGGCCTATTTTGGACATTCCTATTTTGGACATTCTATTTTGGACATTCCTATTTTGGACATTCC